AGTAGAAAAATATATTTCGGCAACTTAGTTATGGTCACACATAATTTTATTTTTAAATACGTTTTAATTTGATGTTAAAATGTGGTTCTAAATAAGTGTGACCAATGCTTTAGCTAAAATTCAAAATTGTGTTCATAGAACTAAATCTCTATTAAAATCTTTTCTTTAGTATTCTTTAAAGTTGAGTCGATCAATAGTTTATTAAATGAAATTAATTTTAAATATTTGGTTAGGTGTGTTGATGTATGATATTTATAATATGTATAAATATGGATAAATGTTTAATTAGATATGTTGTTGATTACAGAGTATTAAAAAGATGGCAAATATTATATATATATATATATATATATATATATATATATATATATATATATATATATATATATATATATATATATATATATATACATATATATATATATATATACATATATATATATATATATATATATATATATATATATATAATATATATATATATATATATATATATACATATATACATATATATATGTATATATATATATATATATACATATATATATGTATATATATATATATATACTTATAATTATTTTTTTGTATTTATTTATTGTATTTATATGAATATATATGAATATTTTTTTGTATTTATTTGTATTTATTTATTGTATTTATATAAAATAAAATGGCAGGAAAGCAATGGTTGGAAAGTTTTTTGATACGACATCCAAAATTATCACTTGCTCGTGCAACTGCTTTTAATGAACATACAGTGTCAAAATTTTTTTTGATAACTTGTTAGAAGTTCAATTAAAATATAAATTCAAACCAGAATGTATTTTTAACGCAGATGAGACAGGATTATTAACAGTAACAGATCCTCCAAAGATTATTTCAACTCGTGGAACTAAAAGGGTTTCACAAGCTGTTTCAGCAGAAAGAGGTTCATTGGTGACAATGTTAGCTTTTGTGAATGGGTAATACAGTTCCACCTGTATTTATATTTCCGAGAGTAAATTACAAGGATTTTATGATATGTGGAGCCCCAACAGGAAGCTTAGGGCTGTGTAACAAAAGTGGTTGGATGACAAGTGAGAACTTTTTAGTTGCAATGAAGCACTTTGTTTCCCATGCTAAGCCATCTGTGGAGCATCCAGTGCTGTTATTAATGGACAACCACGAAAGCCACATTTCATTTGAAACAATAACATTTGCAAAAGAAAACTCTTTGATTTTATTAACATTTCCACCACACTGCAGTCATAGATTGCAGCCTTTGGATGTTTCGGTGTTTGGTCCTTTTAAATCTTATTTTAGATTGGCTCAGAATGAATGATTGGCCTCCAATCCAGGGAGAATTATTAACATATATAATTTACCTCAGCTAGCATGCAAAGCATATAATATGTCGTTCACAATAAAAAATGTTTGCAGTGGGTTTTCTAAATGTGGGATCTATCAACTCAATAGACAAATATTTGGGGAAAGTGATTTCATATCATCTAGTGTTAGTGACAGACCTCTTCTTGTTGAGCAACCAGAAATTAAACAACCAGATAATCAACAATCATATGAAATAAATAAACAAGTTGATTCTTCAGAATCATCAGTCAAAATAGTTAGTCCAGAATCCATTCATCCGTACCCTAAAGCACCCCCAAGAAAAGATTCTAAAAAAAGAAGAAAGCAGGGTAAAAGTACGATATTAACTAAAACTCCAGAAAAGACAGTAAATAAGAAGAACATTTTTGAAACTGGTAAAATTACCACACAAAATCTAAAAAGAAAAATTGACCTCAAAAGAGGGAAAGAAACAGAAATCTTTGATGCAGATTTTTTAATTGTGTCATCTGTAAAAAATGCACCCGTAAACCAACAACAACAAAATACTTGCAAAATATGCAAATGTAACTGGAAAAATTTCGTTGGGCCTGCTTGGATTCAGTGTTTTACTTGTCAATGGTGGATATGTGGTAATTGTAATAATAACAGCAAGAAGCGTTATTATGAATGTTTACTATGTGAAGTTGACTGTTGATATCTTCTACACTTTCTTTGATGGTTTTTATTTCATGTACTTTGTAACAAGCAATAATTGTTGATTTTTATATTTTGGTTAAACATAAATACAATGAATTTTTTAAATATCTAATAAGATGCTTTGTTATTTCGTTTTTTGAAAGTAAACTAGATACTTTATATGGTATTAAGTTGTTTATTTATAATTTAGCATAGGGATGCTGCAGGCAATGACTCATTTCCCTATTGGAAATGTGTCATTACTGGGAATTATATCCAAGCATTTAAAAAACGCTTTTTGTTTTACTAGAAACAATTATTCGTGTTTTTAATTTAATTTTAATATACATATATTTTTTAATAAAACTATTTTAGGTTTGTCAATATATGCAGACATTCGGCCATATTTATAGCTTTTTCGGGTTCCCTAATGGTAGAAACTACCCTTACTGCTTGACTGGCTTGAAAGTTACTTAGGACCTCTCTTCTTTTATTAATTTTTTAGATTTGTCCCATTCAATAATTTTATTTGTCCCATTCAATGAGTAGTTCTTAATGAATGGGACAAATGCCATGGTCTTATTAAACTCTCTTTTTACCAATACCCATATGCGGAATCAATTTTTTTGTTTTTGTTTATCATAGTACAAGAGTTAACAGTTATCAAACTATTTTCAAAGTGATTTTTAAACAAATTTATCAACCTCAAAATATGCATTTTACGAAAACTGTCCCATTCATTAAGGTTCTCCCCTATATATATATATATATATATATATTTATATATATATATATATATATATATATACATACATATATATATATATATATATATATATGTATATATATATATATATATATGTATATGTATATATATATATATATATATATATATATATATATATATATATATATATATATATATATATATATATATATATATATAATTATGTAGCTATATATATGTGTTACTACATATGTATGTATATTAGGGTTTTGACTTTGAGTTTTTGTGAAATGATTTCCTGTGTCATAAGTCAATGAACTTTAGCTCAAAGGTAATGAAAATTGGTTTAATTCTGAATAAATTTTAAAAAAGGTACCCCATTGCATGAAATTTTTAAAATGGTATATAACAAGTATTTTCAGACAGTTGCATTATGACTTTGTATGCAAAAGGTTTAAGAAAATTCCAAAGCCTAGAATTTTCTTGAACCTTTAATGTTCAATGTAACTTTATAGAACATTCTGGACTGTTTTGGATGATTTTAGAAATCTCTGAAACATTCTAGAATTTTCTGGAGTCTTCTAGAATTTTATGGAAATTAGCAAAATTTAGACTATATATGCTGCCTAATTGAGTAATGCTAGTAAATATATATGAATCTGGATTCGCCAGATGGCAGTCAAATAATATATAAGTGCAATAGCACTTAAATATTTATTATTATTGCCTTTCAGAAATATATTCAAGTATTATCTTCAATCATAATGTTGTATAAAAAAACAAAAAAAAAAAAAGCTTCTACTACTAAAGAAAATAAGACGGCCTGGATGAAAAATTTAATGAGTCACATAAGAAATGAAGAGCTGTCCCACTAGAGGGATGCATAAGAAATGAAGAACTGTTTCACTAGAGGGATACATAAGAAATGTAGAACCGTTCCACTAGAGGGACAATTACTGGAAGATAACAGTAGGATACCACTTAAAATTTTGTTGGTTGCTATGGTGTTGCTATCTGTTCCTGGTAGAACCCATCAAGGGAGACAAAAACGCATAAAGCAAATTGAGAAAGAAGTAATTATTTTATGGCAAAAGACTTTAAGCTTTCCAAATTTATCAATTAAAATTATACAAGCTTAACTGGATCAAGTACTGAAATTGTAAGATAAATTCATAAAACAAAGAAAGTTTTTGACATTGCTAAAAAAGATGGTAAATGGTTCTGCAGTGAGGACAACAATTGTATCATTTTCAGATTAAAAGCAAAGGACAGGTCAGGTGTACAACTGGGAAGGCTGCTAGTTTCAAAACTATCTACCCCATCTAAAGGAAGAAAAATTTCCTTGAAGCCTACTTCAACAACAATAACAGCAACAGCAACAATGTCAACTTCCGAATCCGAGTCTGAAGCAAAATATCAAAAGTCTGACAATTCCTAAGAACAGTCCACAAGTACCAGCAAGAACTACAGCAAAACCAAAACTGCAATCAAATTAGTAACATCTTCAAAGTTATCAGCCAGCAAAGCAGAAACCATTTGTTGACAGTTGTTTCTAGATTGGATCAATACTCAGACACCTTCACAATCTGGTATATTCAGATATCGGACATTAGGAATGTGTGTACTGGAGGAAGGAATGAATCGTCAGTCAGTTACAAAGATGTTTTACTGAAAAATCATAATCTATTGGTTGTTAACATCATGCTCTTGGTCGAGCCCAATATCGAATATCCGTTTATTCTTAAACTTGTAAAAGAAAGAGAACCTTTAGCTTAGATTTATTTTGTCTAACAAAACAAAAGAGTTGTATACTACGCTTTAATTAGGCTGAACAATTTTTATTTGTAATTTAGAGTGTTATGATGTAATAATAAAATGTTTAATGCTTAAAAACTAGAAAACTAACTAACTAGAAAAATAAGTCTCCAATTAAAAAACTAGAATTAAAAAATAGCAAATAGCAATTGTTTGAAATTTTATCCATATATGTCCATATTTTATGCTTTTATGATAAGTTTAAATTTTTAGTTTGTGGGCAAACTTTTTTCAACGAGAAAATTAAATTAATGTTTTTTTCATTACTTTTGTACAAATATTCATCGATTTATGACCCAGGAACATGGGGTCACACAAAAAATCATAACCCTAATTTATATATGTATATATATATATATATATATATATATATATATATATATATATATATATATATATATATATATATATATATATATATATATATATATATATTTATTTATTTATATATTAGCTGGAAGAACAGTTAGAGAGAATGACATTAGTTAGAGCCCAGAAAGATTTGATCCTTCTTCATGACGAAGAATCATTTGTTCAGCCAACAAACACATTAGAATGGTTAAATGCAAGAGAATGGGTTTCAGCTCATTATCATGTAATTACTATCATAATAATAACACAATAATAAAAAAGTTTACACAACGATAGTTATTTAGTATACTGAATAAAAAAAATAGTGCAATGTAAATGCATATCTTATTTGTATTGCACTTGATCTGTTGAATATTTTTGTGTAGGTTATTTCATTACTGTGCTTTTTTATTATTATGATGCTATTATTCGTTGCTTACTTTTTATTATTCTTGAAAAATAGTTTGTTATTATTTAAATAAAAAATTTATCAATATGTTTTGTTACAAAAATGTACATTGAATGTTTGTTAAGTGTTTTGTTATCAAAGTGCTGCATTTATTTAGATTAGATGTCCAAAAAAAATATTTAAAAGAAAACTTCTTTCAGAGAGAGTATGTTGATATCTTTATTTTTTAATAATGCTTTTGAAATTTATATATATATATATATATATATATATATATATATATATATATATATATATATATATATATATATATATATATATATATATATATATATATATATGTTTTTTTTAAGTATGCTAATGATCCCAATTATGAATGCCCTTCAAAGTAAGTACTTGTTTTCTTTTGAAAGTAAGTTTATTTTCTCTTGAAAATTTGAGATTTGATTTGAAAGAATTAAAGTTTTTGAAAATTATTTCTAAAATTAAGTGATAATTGACATAGTTAACATTAATAAAGTGAAGCACAAATGATTAAAGCTGAAACTCTGTAGTATTTTTTGTCAATATTTCTTGTTTTAACTAGTTGATGTTCTATACAATGTGTATTTAATTTTTTAATACCAGGACTTTCTATACAAGTTATGTTCCTAATATTAAAAAATGTTATGGCAGATAATGATTTAAGATATTAAAATATTACATGTGTTTGAGTTTCTTATTTTGTTTACAAATGCAAGAGTGTTGTGTTTATAAAAAACTTGTTTGTGTTTTGCATGTTTTTCCTGCATTAATAAAGCAAAATCTGATTAATTAAATAAACATGAGTAATTTATATATATATATATATATATATATATATATATATATATATATATATATATGTATATATATATGCATATGTATAAATTTATATTATATATATATATATGCATATGTATAATTTTATATATATATATATATATATATATATATATATATATATATATATATATATATATATATATATATATAAACAGTTTTAATAGGTATTCTACAAAATAGAGTGCTCAATGTTCTTAAAAGAACAGAGCAATTATGACTTAGTAGAAATTAACTTAACAAAAAATTTTCATTTTATACTGTATTTGATCAATAAAGACTCATCAGAAACAATTTCTGATGAGTCTTTATTGCCAATCCTACAATTTCTTCCAGCACAACAGTACCACCTTTCTCTTTATTTATTGCTGAAAATTATGTTCTCTTATTCTAAAATATTCTGGACACTATACATTACTCAGCAACATTTTTCTTACAGATCATGTTCGAAAATAGGACATCTGTTTCGGTTTATGTTTCCTTACAGTTTTATAGATAAAAAATGGCTATTGGGAAAACTAAAGTAACCTATAACATCACAAATGGTCTTGCTCCATATTTTCAGGTTCTAGTTTTAAAGGTGGTCTTTAGCTCTACAAACATAGTTGTATGTTTTGATGAGTCTTTGTATGAAGTTGTTCAAAAGAGTCAAATGAATATTTGCATTTGTTATTAGGATGCTATTTGCAACTATGTATCTACAAGATACCTTTCATCAGTGTTTCTTGCTCATACATCTGCAAGTGATTTATTCAAAGGTTTCACAAGTGTTTTAAATGAAAATCTTCAAACCAAAGTTTTACAAACTTTTATGGGTGGACCAAATGTGATATAGAAGTTTTTTGATATTCTCAATTATGAATTTGGTAAAAAGTTTGAAATATCTATTCTTAAAATGGGACTATGTTGTCTATTGTTGTTGGAAATCGTGCATTTAAAGCAGGTTATAAAAAGGTGAAATAAAATGTTAATGCAGTATTCAGAAGTTTTTATAAACTTTTTCATGATAGTCCTGCTCATATGGCATTTTATCAAACAATTTGTGGAAAGTGATAAGTGTCAACTTAAATTTTTTTCAACAATATGGATTGAAAGTGTATAAATACATTTTCAATCCATCTTGTACAGATCTGTATGTATAAGAACTTTAGATATTTATGATAATGTGAAGTTGTATGTAACTCAACATGACATATTTTACTATATCATGTTGGGTTTACTAACTTTTTTTTTTAGCATTCAGGGTCTTGTTACAAAGTTCAGACTTAAGGTGGCTTCCCTAAATTCAACTAAATTTTGGAAAAAAATTAACAGTTGCTTGTGAGAATCAATAAAAAGTTTTACAAATAAAACCAGATTTTTTTTGAAAGTAATGGGATTTGATGCACATCATTCAATAAAATAAATTATACTATTTGAATAATCAAGTCTAACCGAATGGTTAAGTTTACCAGACTAATAATTTTATTAGCTTTTAAGTTTTATTTTTTTTTATTTCAAATTCAATGTTGCACATTCCAAAATGTTTTTAATTGAATTTTTAAATCAGTGTTTTGAGCAAAGAAAACAAGCATCTGAATTTTAAAAAATTTTTTTGGTTCATCATTGAGCTTTTAAGTGTTTATTATTTTTAAGTATGAATACAAATCTAATCTAACCTTTAGCGTAATTATTATTTTTCAAATTAATGCACTTATTTTTTGAATCATGATTATCAGTTTGTTTTAAATCCAATGACAATTTTAATTAAAATTTAGTATATAATAATTATTATATAATAATATAAATATATTAAGGTATGGTATTGTTCAGTAATAAGTTATGCAAGTTATCATTGTGCAAATTTTACTTTTTAGACATTCTGACTTTGCTCGATTAGCTCGAGTTTTAACAGGGACATCTATAGGTTTAGTTTTAGGAGGTGGAGGTGCTAGGTAAATACTTTCTCTATTTTCTTACATTTCTAACATTTTTCTGCAGATATTTAATGCTTAAATCTTTTATGATTATAGAGGTATTGCTCACATTGGTGTTATTAAAGCATTAAGAGAAGCAGGTTTTACTAAAAACAGTGTTTTTATATATTACATTATTTATTTTTTTTAATCTTGTTTTTTCATTTAAACTTTTTGTAAGAATTCACCACCAATATTACTAAAATGTATTTTTCTATCAATTAAATAAAAATAATATAGTTGATACTTTTATTTATTTTATTTATTAATTTATTTTGTTAAGACATTCCAATTGATTCAATTGGCGGTACTAGTATGGGAGCATTTGTAGGTGCATTATATGCAGAGCAAGGGTGTGTTGTAAAAACCATCCAAAAATGCAGAGAAGGATGCAAGGTATTTTATTTATATTTTTAAAATTGTTTTAAATTTACTTTTAAAATTGTTTTAAAAATACTTTTTGTAAAAACTATTTTTAGTTTTCTTGTTTTTACTATTTTTAATAGAAAATGGCATCAATGTGGCGTAAAATTCTTGATATGACCTACCCATACACATCTCTTTTCACTGGTAAGTAAAATCCTTGATATGACCTACCCATACACATCTCTTTTCACTGTTAAGTAAAATTTTTGATGTAACCTACCCATACACATCTATTTTTACTGGTAGCTTTCTTTTTTTTTTTTTTTTTTTTCAGTAAAATTATTTCTAATTTTAAGCTGTTGAATTTATATTTGATTATTTTATGCTTTTAGTTTATCAAGATAATTATTTATTGTATTTGTTCAATAGTCATTATTTTAAACATAATTACTTTATATATTTTTTATTTTTTCTAAAGGAAAAGCTTTTAATTCTGAAATCCACTCAACATTTGGTGATATAAAGATAGAAGTATTTATATTGTTTCAGTTTTTTATACATATCGTATATAGACCACCCTGAATCGTTATAAACATTTTTATATAAATTATATGTAAACTGCTCCAAATTTTTAAAAACAGTGTATATAAACTAACATAAAGATAAAAACATTTATAATGTTATAATTCTTTTTAGTTTAATTATTTATTTTCCTACTTGTATACCAATAAAGCCCTGTCTCTACTTTGTTTTAGGATATGCTGCTCCCTTATTTTTGTGTGACAACAGATATCAATGATTCTAAAATGAAAATCCATCAAACAGGTGAGTTGGCATATTTTGATCTTTTTTTGTTTATTATTGTGAAATTTATGTTGGTTTGAAAAATGAAAAAGTACTTTTTTGTTCTTGCTTTTTTTTGTTGTTTTTTCATTTAAAAATATTTAAATATTAGGTTGTTGCTGGAGATATGTGAGAGCTAGTATGTCATTATCTGGATATCTTCCACCAATGTGTGATCCTGTGGATGGGCATCTTCTTTTAGACGGAGGATATGTGAATAACTTGCCTGGTTCAATTTTTTAATATAACTATTTTTTATATATATTTTATATAAGTCTGATTAATTATATTGCTATGATGAAATAAAATGAACTATTGTGTAATATGCAGGACTGTTTTAAAAGTCATATAATTTTGAATAATTTCAATTAAATATAATTGTTTATTATCTCTTTGAAAGATAAATGTTTATTATCTCTTTGACTAACTTTTTGCTTCAATGTTATTTCTTTGATTAACTTGTTCCTTCAATTTTTGTGAATTATCAACAAACGTATCATCACAAAATAAAGCGCCACCTTTCACTCAAACAAAAGTCAATATCCACTCTAATAAAAATAATAATAAAGTTGAAGAACAAACCACGAGCGAATTATGCTATAATAAATCAAATAACATTAATACAACTATTCCTAATCTTTTTGAATTTGTTCAAGTCAATGAAACTATTCCTAATCTTTCAGAATTTGTTCAAGTTAATGAAACTATTCCTAATCTTCCTAAATTTGTTCAAGTTAACAGAAAGCTAAGTGATACATTCAAAAATTTGATCTCAGATTTTTGTTAAAATGGCAGAAAAACATATTTAAGATACCTTTCGGAACTGTAGCAAAAGATTTTATATCAGAACTAACCCAATATAACACAAACTCCGATCTTCACAGAATTACTTTAAAAGTATACATGTTACTTTCCTTGAAACTCTTACAAAAACCATCAAAAAATGCAAAAGAAAAGCAAAAGAACATCTTGCATAAATAATAAATAAATAATAACAAATAATAAATAAAGCAAAGCAAAAGAACATCTTGCCAAACTACAAAACCGTTTAATTATGTGAAGAAATATTGATATTCATGAGTTAATACAAGAAGTTAAAAATATCCGAAAAAAGATTCTTTTATAAAAACCTCGTTCCAAAGAAGATTCCGCTAAAATATTTTCAAAGTTAAAGTTTGAAGGTAAAGTTCGATATTCATTAAAAATTATATCCGATGATTGCAAAAGTGGTCTGTTACCTATCAACAATACTGTACTGAAAGATCTCATCTCTAAACACCTTGAAGTGGCACACATACTTTCCTTCTACTTTCCTTTACGACCCAATACAAGATATTTCAGTCACTTATAAACTTAGATGAGTTTATGGTAGAAAAGGCAGCACGTTTAACTAGAGGAGCAGCAGGTCCTTGAAGCCAATCAATACAAACTAATATTAGCAAGTAAAAAATATCAAAAAATGGGAAAAGAACTCTGATAACTAATTGCAATCCTAGCGAAAAAACTTGCAACTTCAATTGTCCATCCACCTTTGAGTCATTAACAGCTTGTTGCTTGATTCCTTTAGGCAAAGCTGAAGGTGGAGTTATACTGATTGGTATTGGAGAAGTTCTGAGACAAATAATTGGGAAAATAATAGGATCTAAAGCCTGAAATTCAAGAAGCTGCTGGGCCATTATAAGCATGCATCAGTCTAGAAGGTGGAGCAAAGGCTGCAATTTACGCAATGAAAGAATTATTTTTATATGAAGATAATGACGCAGTAATTCTTGTTGACACAAAGAACACCTTTAACTCGTTAAGCAGAAAAACCACACTACATAATATCCAATACATATGCCTTCAAATTTCTAAAATTTTAATAAACACATATTGTATTCCTTCCACTTGATAATACTAGGCAGTAATGATATACTATCGACTGAGGGTGCTACCCAAGGCGACAACCTTGCAATATTTTTTTACGCACTTGGACTAAACCAGTTCATAAATATTTCAAAAAAAAATCAGAACTTGTAAAACAGATATGGTATGCTGATGATGCATCATGTGCAGGCAAACTTTCATCACTAAAAACATGGTCGGACACTATCGTTTCTGAAGGGGCAAAATATGGTTGTTTTGTTAATGAATCTAAGTCATGGATTATTGTCAAGAATATAACCAAACTAAACAAAGCTAAATTTATATTTAAAACCAATTCAAAATTAATTTTACAACTTAAGGGAATAGACATCTGCAGACATGGGAGTTGCAATTTGAAGTGAGGATTTTAAAATAAAGTTCATCAAAGAAAAGTTTTTACATGGTGTAAAACGATAGAATTTCGGCAAATAATTGTCATTATTTGCCGAAACACAATCACATGCCCCATATCCTGCTTAAATTCATGGTCAACAACATAAATTCAATTACTATTTGCGGATATTGCAAGGAATTGAAATGTTTTAAAAACCTTTAGATGACATAATTGAATCAAAACTTTTAACTTTTATACTGGGAATAACTATAACACCTATTGACAGGCAATTGTATACTCTTCCAATTCGTGAAGGTGGATTAGGTATCATGAATCTATCTGAAGATGCATGCAATCAATTTAACACATCAAAGTCATTAAATGGACCTTTAATTGCATGTATGATTCTGCAAAATCATGCTTTTAAAAAAAGTAAGCATCAAAGAAAACATTAATACATAAAAGAAAAAACATTTGAAAACCTAAGTTGAAAATGTTTTGAATTTACTGTCAAAAACAACACTAAGATCAGTAGAACAAGCATGAGGAAAGGGTGTATCAAGCTAAGTGCGCTTCCACTAAAGATCAAAAATAAAACTGAATTCTGTGATGCATTGTGTCATCAAGATATTAGCGGATTACCATCAAAGTGTCTATGTGGATAAACAACACTAATCTCGCTATGAACTGTAAAAAATGAGGGTTCGTCATAATAATTAACTCAATTTTGAGAGTAATATGCTTCAGAAAATTTGCAAAGATGTCCAATTAGAGCCACCACTTCAGCAAATAAATGGTGAAATTTTTGAGAAAAAAGGAAATAAAGCAGATGAAGCTAGACTAGATATTTGAGCCCATGGGTTCTGGCGTAAAGCACAGAATAATTGGTTTGATGTGCGAGTCACAAACCCAAATTCACTATCACAAATGGAATTATCTATAGATAAAATATACACCAAACACGAAAATGAAAAAAACAAAAGTTATGATGAAAGAGTTAAAAATATCGAATACCGAACCTTTACTCCATTTATTTTTCCTTAAATTCGGTGGAATGGGTCCAGAATGCACGATATACCACAAACATCTAGCTGAACAAATAGCTGTAAAGTCAGGAGAAAAATACAATAAAGTTTTAACTTATATTATTAGAGTTAAGATCTCTTTTATTACACAAAAATCAACTTTTCTTTGCTTACGCGGTTCGAGGTCGCTACCGTCAAAAAATCTCTTCAATACAACTGACGATTTCAGACTGGTATGCGGCGATTTAAAAATTATATAAATTTTTTCCTATAAATATTAATTTATATTTAACGGCAGCAATTTGTATTAACATTGTATATTATTTATAAAGAAATCTATTTAAAAAAAAATTGTATATAATTGTTATATATGTTTATGCATGATTTTGGAAATAAAATCTTAACATTATTTGATTTTCTTTTAACTTACAGGAGATGTTATGCGATCATTAGGTGTTAAGACTATTATATGCGTAGATGTTGGTTCTGAAGATGAAGTAGCCCTTACAAATTTTGGTGACACACTTTCTGGTTGGTGGATGTTATGGAACAAGTTCAATCCATTTGCCTCTCCGGTCAGAGTGAGTGATTAATAAATACTTTTTGTTTTTTTTATCTTTTATTTTGTTTCTTGAATCTATTTTACAATCTTTTTTTTACTTATAAATTTTTTTTTTACATTTTTTTACTTATAAAATTTCAAAAAGTTAAAATAACATAATCAAATAGCACATTGAGTCATTGTTTAATAAATGAAATTACATAATATTACTTGTATACAGGTTTTGCTTGTATATAGATTCCCGATATGAATGGAATACAATCTCGACTGGCATATGTTTCTTGTGTAGGCAAACTTGAAGAAGTAAAAAATAGCAGTTTTTACAACTATATTCGACCACCTATCAATAGGTTTCTAAAAGTTTTTTTGTCTTTTTTTTTTTTTAAACAGTTTCACAATAAACTCGAAATAACCAATTGCAAATTGTGTTCATCTTGATATATTTTTGTTTTTGTTTAATGAAAATTGTGATTTTTGCTGATACTTTTTTGTATATGTTACATAATAATATTTGTACATAATAAAACGTATTCCTATAAAAGTAAACATAAGACAACAAGTTATCTAATATTTACACACCTTCTGACGGCAATAAAGTCATTGTAAGTTACTTTTTTTAGTGCTTTACCAAGCTTTTTTTTTTCATTTGTTTATTTAAAATTAAAACTGAAAAAATTACAAATATATTTATAAGTTTACAAACTTAGGTGCGGTGTCACTCATATAGTTAAAAACTAATCATTTGAGTGACACATTAATGAAATAAGCAAATATAACAAAAACAAATAAACAACAAAAAGTAATGTCATAATAAAGATAGTAAACTTAAAAATAACATTAAATCAAAATATTTAAAAATATTTAACAAATTAAAAAAAGAAAGAGAAAAATATCACACACAAAAAAAAGAAAGACTGAATGAGGTGGCAGAGGGAATGAATGAATGAGATTTCTTCTAATTGTTAAACTCATTGTTAAATGTTAGGTTTAACGATCAGAATTACAGAAAATAAAAAATAAAACTAAAAGATATAGTTTAAATTACGGAGACAAAAAAAAAAGAAATCACTTGAATAATAGCAAAAAGCATAAAAAAACAAAAACAATAAATATAACTTGTAATTTTATTAAGTATTAACACAACTAAATTTTATAGATAAAAAATAACTTTTCAAGGTAAATCAAGACATAAACTAGCAAAAGAAAATGGAGAGAAAATTTCAAATCAAAAAATTAAAAATTTTAATGAGAGAGGATGTAAGATTAATGCAATCGTAAATTTTGGAAGTGTCTGTATAAACTCCATGGGAATTTCATTTCCATTATATGCAAAAGCAGTGGTTATAGAAAAAATTATTTTGAATAGATTACGTAAAAGAATTAAAAAGAATTAAAAAAGTCACAACAATAATTTGAAAAAATCATATATATATGTTATAGTAGGAGAAAAAAAATCTGACTTGTCAATAAAATGGATCTTACACAAATGAAAGCAAAAGGAAAAGAGTTAATAGAAATTGTAGACTTGATCAGTAAAGATTTTAATGGTTATGTAAATTCAAAGATATCACCTTCGAAAACATTTAATTAAAAATATTGGTGAATCTACTGCCCTCAAACAAATGATGAATCTACCGCCCTCAAATAAATAGCAAATCTACTCTATTGATATGATAATCTATCTCTATGATAATCTATTGATATGCACAGAAGTAAAACCGGAAGAACCTTAAATAACACCAGAGTTGGTTACAACAATAACGAACAACTTTCTTGTGTATTACTATAATGATCTTTTTAAATATAAACTACTAGCATATTTACGCAAAAAAAACTAAAAAAATATAAATTACTAAATTTTAAATATAAATTACTAGCATATTTACGCAAAAGAAACTAAAAAAATATAAATTACTAAATTTTAAATATAAATTTCTAGCATATTTACGCAAAAGAAACTAAAAAAATATAAATTACTAAATTTTAAATATAAATTACTAGCATATTTATGCAAAAGAAACTAAAAAAATTAAATTAGACATAATTTAATTTAAACATAATCGTGAAAGCACAATTGAAGCTATTAGAGTGCAAGTTAATAAATTATAATAATATTTGAAACTGGTATTGCCATATGTTAACCTATAGGAAGTTATTTTTAAAATAAATTTGAAAAGTATTTCAGTTTTGTCGTTTTGGAAACTACAAATCAAAGTATATAAAAAGCGTCAACTCGTTTGATCATCATGACTTTAAAAACAATAATGTCTTTTTATAAGAAGAAAGTTGTAAATACTAATGTAAATAGTAATAGTGTAAATACCGATGTTGTAAATTATAATGCTGTGAATATTCATACCGTAAATACTAAAGTTCAAATAATGATGTTATAGATACTGCGGAGAACGTAAGTTGCAGTTTAATTGATATTAAAAGCAAATCAGATATGTCAGATGTCTTCAAAAAAATGAAAAGTTGTTTAAAAAACCCTATCGTCCCCCTAAAGATTTCATTTTTTGGTATTGAAAAAGTTGTGTGTTTTGTTTCTACTGTATGAAACACAAATTAAAGTTAACAACAGAGAAGAATAAAGAGCCAGAGTATATATCATTTGGCTTCGAAAAGTGGAAAAAAGCGCCAAGTTGTTTCCAAGATCACCAAAACAACAAATGCCACAGGGATGTATCTACATTTAAAGTTATTGTTCCTTCTTGTAATAATTCTTTGGCAATGTTAAAAAAGCAAATCGTTAAGTCAATATCCAGAAATTTACAATTAACCTCACCTCACTCTAAAAGCAAGAAAACTCTTTTATCATATAGATCATATGTAAGTGTATTATTTAGCCAATTCATGCATTAAGTTGTTGTGCAACAATAAAAATTTAAAAAATCTGCATATGAAAAGGCAATGGGTCTTGGTTTATATTTGTATATTTGTTATACAAGTAACCATTTGTATATTTGTTAATCAAGTAACTGTTTGATTTTAGTTAAATTAACTAAAACTCAGTTGCAATTTTATATGTATGTTTTTTAAATTCAATCATTTTCAATTTTTTGTTTAATTTGCTGGAACAAGCCAGTACATAATAGGGTCAAAAGTGTTTATGTATATAAATTACAGCTTTTACATTTGAAAGCTTTGGCAGTAATTCCTATAATTTTGATGTTTGCATTCGAAGTTGCTGATCAAACCTGCCATTTTAGATTGCTTGATAATAATTTTTGATGTTGATAATTTTATCTTACTATTGTCAATAATTTATTGAAGTTTTTTAAAACATTCAATTTTTAAAACATATTCAATTTTCTGTGTTTTTAATATCATTTTGCAGTTGACTGAAGAATTAAAGAGTGCAATATGTTTGTTATTGTTAGTATTTGTGATAATTATTGTCATAAAATGTAATAATGGACCAATACCATTCCTCAAAATACTCCACTCATTATACTCATAGCTTTATCTTCCAGAACTCTTTTTTTGTCAAAATTTCCAATTATTTGTTTTTCCTACCTACAAGTATATGCGCGCATATTTTTTTAAAACAAAAATGTAAATATTAGAAATTCATCTTTATAAACATTATAAATGTATTTTGTGTGTATGGTTGGCAGGATAAAGTATAACTCAAAAGGCGATCAAAGTCCACTTGCAAATGATACATAATTATGTAGAATTATTAATGTGAAAACCTTGATTTGACAAAAAAGCTATGTTGCTCAGTTTGATTCTTTTTCAGCACAGCATATTGAGAAGTGTAGCAATAAAGAAAATGAATCATCATTTTACCTCTTTTCATATGTATGAACAGTTCATAGGTATAATGGAAGCTAATGTTATGCAACAAATAGTAAAAGAAATCAAGGAAGCTAAATATTTTTCCCTCAGTATTGATTTTACTCCTGAAATTAGCCATGTAGACCAACTGTATTTTGTTTTTGGTATATTCAAAAAAATGGCTGTCTGGTAGAAAGATTTATAGGGTTTTTACCCAACTCTAGTCACAAATCTAAAGAGTTAGTAGATGCTATATTTTTTTTGTTTTAGAATTACATGGATTAGATATAAATAATTGTTGTAAATAGTTGTAATAAATAATTTGAAATGTATTAGATGCAATAATTCTTGTATATGTAATAAAGCTAAAACAAATATATATATATATATATATATATATATATATATATATATATATATATATATATATATATATATATATATATATATATATATATATATATATAGTATAATAATATATATACTTTTTAAATTTTAACATTAATGTTTTTAAACAATAAAATAGAAATCCTATTTGTTCACCATAAAAACGGGGTGAAATTTGTTTATTTTTGGGAATGAAAACATAAAATGTGCTTACCGCAGCACAATAAAACGTGCTTGCCGCTGCACGGTGTTATTTAATGAGTTGAACTGAAAACATAAGACCTAAAACTGAATGAAAATATTAGACCTAATATTAGATGTTTGTAAAATAATCAGAACTGATAAACTTCAAAAACTGTTTCCTTACTTAGATATAGCGTTAAGGATATATCTATGCTGCCCAATGTCCAATAGTTCAGCTGAGAGATCCTTTTCAGCATTAAAAAGAGTTAAATCTAATTTAAGTTCGGGAATGACTGGTGATTGTCTTAATAGATTAGTAATTCGATCTATTGTATCTGGACTTACCATAGGTTTGAACTTTAATTGCATTATAAATACATTTTGTAAAACAAAACTCATGTAGAAAATTATAATTTTTTTTTAAATATTAAGTGATTAATTTAACTTAATATACATCTTTGTATTGAAAATGTTTTTGTTCTTTAATAATCACTCCAAATCAAAATTGACAGTTGTTCTTTTAAGAGGGCGCTTAAAGGAACAGACCCCCATTGTTGGCATAAAAACAGTTTTTCATTTTGGACGATCTTTGCTTAACCTGTTATGTCAAAATAATTCAAAGCTTTCTCCAAACAGTTACCCAGGAGTTTACTAACTTGAATGTACATGGGACATTAATTATGTAGATTTATATAGATCAACTTGTTTCTTTGTGCAGCGACCTTGTTTGTAGAGGTTCGTTTTTGGAGTTATAGAGTTGAGAGAGGGTTGTAACCACAAAAGTAGCCTCCCCGATTGCAGTGGCCTTGGGGAGGTGAATAATTGAAAAAAAAGATGAAACTAGAAAAAAGATAACAACATGAATAGCTTAACATTAAAAAAGTGCGACTATCATTATGATAGTCACATTTTTTTGTGAGACTATTATTGACTTTGAATGCCAATTTTCATGATTTCACAATTATACCAGTTTGGGCATCCAATTTTATGCCCAAACTACAGTACTTTATAATTACATTAGTTCTTTGCTTTGTAAAGTACAGGCATTAAATGTATTTGATTTGGGAATTCGCTAAATATTTGTATTCGTAAATATATCTGAGCATTTGCAAAAAATATAGTTAAGAACTTTTTTCTTTACTTTTTTTTTATAACAAATTTAATATTCGACGAACAATGTCTAATAATATTGCAAAATTACTCCATGACTGACAAGTTAGCATACTATTGTGGTTATCACAATCCAACGAAAATGAGACGCAAAGTTGGAATCTACTTTATGTGGGGGATCAAACCTCCATCATAAACTTTTACTTTTGTAAATTTTTTTTTTTTTTTTTTTTTTTTTTTTTTTGCGTAAGTTTTATGTGTATTACCTGTTATTGTTGTACACTTAAATGACTAAATAATTATAAGTGAAGTGGAACTTATGGAGTGTAGATAAATCCGCTCTTTGTTTTGGTTTGAGCTTTTATTATAATAAAGGAAACTTAAATGCGGTTGTGGTGTAGTTTTAAAGTGCTCACTTCATAAGCGAAAAGTTCCAAGTTTGATCCCTATCACGTCCC